TCACACCTCGACGACTATCTGGACGTTTTCGTACTCGTCGTTGTTTCCAGGAAGTCGAAGACCAACCCCAACAACAAGCTGAATCATCAGTTTCTTGCAAGGCATAGGGACTGGCGGCTCTGCGGAATGGGCCATGTGTTCCTGTGGCTTTATTTCATCTACGACCTCGTTCCTCTGCGCTACGGCCCCGGTATCGTCGAGCCTCTCGACTTTTCTGAACCGATCTTGTGGACGAAAGCGCACCTCTTCTTTTCTTTGAAGAAGGGCGACCAGGGAGAGCAGAAGCAAGACGAGATGCACTACAAAACGCATAACACCTGGATTAAGTGGGCCATGACGAAGGCGAGATGGATTCTGAGCAAGGTAACACATGCATTCCGCAGATCCGGAGCGCAACAACTCCATGACGACGGTTGCTCCGACAACGATATCGGCACTCTGGGCGGATGGGCGCAGGGGGAGTTGCGGAGGTGTTATGTGTTCGGCATACCGTTCAAGCCGGTTTGGCTGCTTGCAGGATTCAGCGGGGATCGTGGAGACTACTACATCGGCAGAGCCCGCGCCAAGCTTCCGCGGCATAAGGTTAAGGAGAAGGATGAGTGGTTGCAGCTCTTGGATCTCTTGAGGCTTCACATTTTCCCCTGGGTCGAAGAGGGTTGGAAGAAGGTACGTGCTAGTGTACAGTCTTCGCGTTCGTAGCTTAATTTTGATACGCAATGATGAACCGTCCCATTTCTCCTGCATACTCGTCCCGTCAGGTCGAAGAATGGAACGCTGCGCAGACCGATCCGCTGAAGAGGCACTATGCGGGGGCGAGGTTCCTAGACACCCTCGCCAGCATCGGACGCCTCGTTGTTGCACAGGATCTGGCTATGATGTGGGCGTTCTGCCATCAGCACGGCGTGAGAAACCCGCGGTGCAATTGCGAGAGGCATCCATATGTGCAGATGAGCCCCTTGTGCAACCACCCGCTGTTCCAAAAGTGGGCGTACCTGGTCGCTATCTCTCACTTCCAGGGCGAGAAGCTTCGGGCAACCGGCCAAACCACCGCCAAAGCAGTAAGTGCCTGCTATAAGTGGTAGAGAGGAGTTATTCGTTCATGCTGAGTTCTGCCGTGCTGGTTTCTGCAGGACGCTATCTTTCGCACGACCGCAGAAGAGAAGCTGCATAAGATGCACCTCACCGCCAATATGCTCAGGGAGGAGCTTGGGATTTTGAGAGGACGTGAAATGCAGTTGGCGATGGAGAACGCTGAACTGAGGGAGAAACTCGCCGCTGAGCGAGAGGACAAGGCTCGGGTCATTGCAGAGTTCGAAGCATACAAGAGGTTTGTTGCGGCCAGGGATGACGCGGCAAACACCTCTGCAGAGATCGACGGATCGTCGAAGAGCGCGGGAACAGGAGGAAACCAGGCAACGGACGCATCCAAAGCACCAGTTGCCGTCCAAGAATTCTTCGTCGTGGTCGTTGTGTCTTGGCGCGAAGCCACCACTGTTGCTGCTGCCTGGAAAGTGTGGGTGCAGCCAAGCCTCATCATGGGCGGCCGGTCACTGCGCGAAGTCTTTGCAGAGTTCGACCGGTATAAGAAGAAGGACAAGAATTCCAGCTTCATCACCGCATATTCCCGGTTCGCTGTCAAAGGTACGCCCGGGATGGCTGTGGGTGCATGCGAGCGAAAGATGCGTCGCGTGCATCGTGTCATGGTTTCCGTGGAGACGCTAAGAAAAGACAGCTCCGAGGCGGCGACCGCAACGGCCATTAAGCTGCTGGACGAGGTTTTACTCGTGTGCAACTTCACGGAATTCACCAACGGCCTGGCTGTGCTGCATGAGACTCCGACCATCAAGAAACAGAAGACCGGTTCGTCGACGGAAAAGAGGACCGTCAACGACCTGGCGCAACGCAGAGTGGGCTGGCTGTTAGTCAAGAAGGGCCTTCGCGACCAGGAGTGGGCAACTTCGCTGTTTGGTGATGATGAGTGGGAGGAGATCCACAAGGAACACATGGCGCAGAAGAAGGCGGAAGAGGAGAAACAACGAACCGCTGCGGCGAAGAAGGCGGAACGGGAAAAGGCGAAGGGCGAAGCGTCGAAACGCAAGGAGCAGAAATGAGGGGGCATGTACCTTAAGGGTGGGGCGGTTTAGTTATTTGGGTACTTTATTCCGGTTGTACCGAATATGCACTACAGGCACTTGTCTGTCTCTGTAGAAGCCCGATTTGGGGCTTGTATGCCACCTTATTCCCTGGGCGCGCTGTTTTTCGTAGAATGTTTTTCTGGTGTATGCAATGAAGCACACATCGATGGTATACACCGGGCGAAATTCTGCGGAGTCATGTCGTATCGTATACGATTTTATTCTACAGAGCGGCGTCGATGAATTCAGTCTCACGATTGTAGATGTGTGTTCTTAGGTCACTCGGTAGACTTTTGCGTGGATTTATTCAGTCTCAGCATATGTTTCTGGGCAAAGCAGTGTCATATTTTACTAGTAGCAACGAAGATCCTATCCATGACGGTAGATATTATCAACACGTCGGTTTTTCTGCGGTATAGTGGCGTTTCCAATTTGCCTCCAGAATTCGGCGTCGAGGAATTCAATCTCCATAGCAGAAAGGTCTGTGCATATGAATACCGTATACGTTCTTAACAAGGTGCTCCCTTAGACAAGATGTTATGCGATTGTTTAGCCCCATACTTCTACCTCTTCGTAGAAGCCGAGTATTAAACGTAGATTAAGTGTCGTAGAAGGCCGTCCTGTCGTCAATTTTTTTATTCGCCTGGCCCTCCCTTTGATGGCGAGTTCTATCGGCTGCATTGCTAGCTCCATACGCGCCCTACAAATTTTGCTAGTGTAGTGAAGGTTTGCATAGCAAAAATACATCTCTCATTGTATTGTATACAACAACACCTATATTTATACACGGTTAAATAAAAAAAAACGAAAAGGAAAATCTATTTCTACTGCGGTACTAACAAGACCTCCAAAGAACCCGTCTGCCTCTATCAATCCTGGCCGCCAGTGCCGGTGTTCTCCTCCGTCGACGCATCCTTCGTCGCGTTCCCCTTCGCGGACGATTTCTTGGTTTTCTTCTCCTTATCCGCCCCTGTTGTGGTATCCCGGCCGCCCAACTTCTTCTGCAGGACTCCGAGCCAGACGCCCTGGTGCTGGCGAAGGCCTCTTGATGCCATGCTGCATAGGCACCAAGAGGTCACCACCTTTGCCACCACCCTCGTCATCCGCTTCGCATCCTCGGCCGCTCGCGACTCTGCCGGAAGCGCTTTCAGCAGCGCATCCGACAGGGGCAGAATCCACGCTTCCTTGTCATGCTCCTGATCCTTTACCGACCTCATCGCCTCAACCGCAACGCAAGCAACCGAGGCTGCAAGCGTCGCAAGGGCATTGTGGACGGCAGAGGGCACATCGGCCGCAGAAGATGACGAGGCATCCGACGAGGCGGTGGCAGCAGTGGACGATCTGGCAGCAGAAGATGCTATGGCCGTAGAAGTTCCACGTGCAGCTGTTGTTGCGCCCGTCTCCCACTGGGTCTGGTCCACATTCGTGGATGCGGCCCACATTACAGACAACGTGGCGGCAAGTCCGATTGCGTGTTCTTCCGTCGAATAGCCGTTTTCACCCTCCACGCCTCCCACCATCTTCTGCCACGCAGTTATTCCGACACCAGCGCAGGCAGCTACCTGAAAGCCATCCCCCTGCTGCTGCCGAAGAGCCGTGTTGGTTTGAACGAGTGAGAATCTGCACAAGACACCAGTGTCGCAAGATCAGAACCATCGAACTTCGCGGGTGTTTAGAAGTTGCAACTGTACATCACATAAACACTCACCCGTCCGGTTTGTCCAGGTGGAGTTCGTTGATGACGCTCCACACCCCTGTTGGAAGCCACGTTGTGAAGTCGAGGTCTTCCCGCCACTTGTTTATACGGTTTGGATTCATGCCGTATGCCTGCATGTCAATATCCGGGAAGTAGAACTTCCAGCAGACTGCGACCGTGTATGCCCTCTCCCACACCGTTTTGTGAGAGCCGAGGTTCCGCTTCCGGCCGCCGACGGTCTGCTCAGACGTCCACTTCTGCAAAGCTCCCTCGCCCCGTTGAGAGAACCCGCTTCCCCTGAACGGCAGGCAGACACCCAAAGTCTTACCCTTGTCGTCCACTACGGCGTTTTTCCTGTTGTCACACTTGTCGATCTTCATCCCTTTCTTTTCCCCTTGGATTATGGGTATCAACTCCTGTATTCCAGCTGCACGCCGTCTCTTAGCCGCATGACCCTCCGGCTCCCTGTCCTCTTGTCTAGGCCGCCTCCTGGACACCTCTACATTCCGTACAGGAACACTAGGCACGCCCTCTGCTACATTCGCCTCCCCGCTCTCAATCAACAGCAAAGTCCCCAACCCCTCAACTATTTCCTCCTCGACTCCTGTCCAGGTCCCCTCCCCCTGCATGGTCAAATCCTCCTCGACTCCTGTCCAGGTCCCCTCCCCCTGCATGGTCAAATCCTCCTCTTCCATCTCCCTTGCCAATCGTTCCGTCTCTTCAGCCATCGCCTTTGCCTTTGCCTCCAGTTGCCGCTGCTGTTCCGCGTAGGATGCAAGTCTGGCCCTCTTCTCTGCTCGGCATTGCTCCGCCTTCTGCAGGCGCTCCATCTCCTGTTGTTTCGCCCTCTGCTGCCGCTCCGCCTCCTCTGCCTCCTTCTTCTGCGCTTCCTCCTTCTGCAGGCGCTCCATCTCCTGCTGTTTCGCCCTCTGCTGCCGCTCCGCCTCCTCTGCCTCCTTCTGCGCTTCCTCCTTCTGCAGGCGCTCCATCTCCTGCTGTTTCGCCCTCTGCTGCCGCTCGGCCTCCTCTGCCTCCTTCTTCTGCGCTTCCTCCTTCTGCAGGCGCTCCATCTCCTGCTGTTTCGCTCTCTGCTGCCGCTCGGCCTCCTCTGCCTCCTTCTTCTGCGCTTCCTCCTTCTGCAGGCGCTCCATCTCCTGCTGTTTCGCCCTCTACTGCCGCTCGGCCTCCTCTACCTCCTTCTTCTGCGCTTCCTCCTTCTGCAGGCGCTCCATCTCTTGCTGTTTCGCCCGCTGCTGCCGCTCGGCCTCCTCTGCCTCCTTCTTCTGCGTCTCCTCCTTCTGCAGGCGGTCCAATTCCTGCTGTTTCGCCCTCTGACGCCGCTCTACCTCCTCTGCCTCCTTCCTCTGCCTGTCCTCCTCCTGCAGGCGCGCCATCTCCTGCTGTTTCTCCCTCTCCTGCCTCTCGGCCTCCTCTGCATCTTTCCGCTGCGCCTCCTCCTTCTGCAGGAGCGCCATCTCTTGCTGTTTCTCCCTCTCCACCCGCTCTGCTTCCTCTGCCTCCTTCCTCTGCGCATCCTCCTTCTGTCGCCGATCTCCCTCCGTTGCCTTCCTACCCTGCTCCTCCTTTTGCCGCCGCTCTGCGTCCAATCTCAGAACCATTGACAGCCGCTTTTCCACCTCACTTATCATCCCCTCCTTCCACCCCGTAATCCCCGTCTTCATCTCCTTCACAGCCTCCATCACTTCCTTCATTCCCGCCTCCACCTCCTTCTGCCGTCGCTCTTCCTCCTGATGTTTGTTCTTCCTCCGCCGCTCTGTGGCCTCTACGTCCTTCCTCTTCACCTCCTCCTCCTTCCGCCATTGCTCGTCCAGTTGTATCCTCTTGCGTCTCTCCTCGTCGTCCGCCACTTGTTTCCTCTTCGCGTCCTGCTGTTGTCGCCGCTCCGCGTCCACTTGCCTCTCCTTCTTCTGCCGCTCGGATTCTTCTCGCAAAACCGCGCTCAACCTCCCCACAATCTGGTTTACCATCCCATCCTTCATCTCCTTCATTTCTGCCTTCATCTCCTTCATCATCGCCTCCTTCATCTCCTTCATTCCCTCTCTCATCTCCTTCTGCCGACGCGCTTCCTCCTGCTGTTGTTCCTTCTTCCGTCTCTCTGCGGCGTCTGCTTCCTTCCTCATGGCCTTCTGCCTCCGCTCCTCGTCCTGCAGTCTATCCCTGTTCCGCCGCTCAGACTCTTCTCTCAGAACCTCTCTCAACCTCTCTTCCACCCCCTTTAACGTGCCCTCCGCCATCCCCCCTCCCGACTGGCGAACCTGATCACTCACCCTTACGATACTCTCCTGCAAGTTGGAGAGTCTCGTGTCCACCTCCTCGCGAAACCTGGCCGCCGTTTCAGCTTGGCGCCGCCGTTCCTCGTTTCCATGGCGGACTTCTTCCAGGTTGGCCAGGGCGTCGCGACAGTAATGGACGGTCAGATCGGCCACGTCGCGACTGATGCTGCTGTTGCGGGCCGCCAAGTTGCAGAACGTCTGCGTCACCATTCGGGCTAAGAGCGTCAGACGACGCGTTACCTCTGCCGGGCTTATGTCCCAGCTTTCGGCCTCGACGAACCTGTCACCTTGTTCGACCAGGACTGTACTCGTCCGATGCAGCATCCGCCGTATTGCCGTCTCTGCCTCGACCCACTCTACCTGCCAAAACGCTTCTGCCACCCCGCCTTGGCCGAGATTCCTCTCCACTGCTCTCTGGTGAAGGGTGGGCCGCCTCTGCCTGTTGAGACCCACTGTATCCCTAGGCGCCCCATCGTCTGCCACCCTCCATGGCCCCTCTACCCCGGTTCCTGGTCCCCGCGTCGGACTTCCTCCCAAAAATATCCGTACTGCCGGATGTACCGTATCCTCCTCATTCTGCTCCTCTTCTGTTTCCAGCGCATCTCCCTCGTAGTGCCCCACTCCAGCCTCCGGGACGACACGAACCTCCTCCATAGTATTTTGACGCCCTGTCTCTGCCATGCTCTGCGTCTCTCGGTATGCGAATACCTGCGACGCTGCCTCCTCGTTATGCTGCCCCTCTTCCTCTGCGATGATGTGCCCCTCAGCACCCGCCGTCTCCCGTCCCTCTGTCTGTACCATTTTATTCCCATCTGAACCGTCCTCTCCATCTGGCTTCCTTCGTGCGTCTGCCTCAGCCTGCTTCTGCTCCTCGGCCTCTGACATCTTCTGCGCAACACCCTCCGCCTTCTTCTGCGCCTCTACAACAGCCTTCTTCCGCGCTTCAGCCCGAGCCAGTTGTAGTGCCTCTTCCGCAGCCTGTTTCTGCTCCTCTGCCTCCGCCTTCTGCCCTCGCCGCTGCTTCTGCCTTATTCCGAGCCTCTCCTTCCTTATGTGCGTCTGCCTCCTCCATATGCAGCGCCGCTGCCTTATCCTTCTCCCTCGCCGCTGCCTCTGATTCCTTCTGCGCCTCTGCCTCAACCATGTTCGACGCCGCACCCTCCTCCTTCTGCAGCGCCGCTGCCTCTGATGCCTTCTGCGCCTCTGCCTCAACCATCTTCGGCGCCGCACCCTCCTCCTTCTGCAGCGCCGCTGCCTCTGATGCCTTCTGCGCCTCTGCCTCTACCATCTTCGGCGCCGCACCCTCCTCCTTCTGCAGCGCCGCTGCCTCTGATGCCTTCTGCGCCTCTGCCTCTACCATCTTCGGCGCCGCACCCTCCTCCTTCTGCAGCGCCGCTGCCTCTGATGCCTTCTGCGCCTCTGCCTCAACCATCTTCGGCGCCGCACCCTCCTCCTTCTGCTGCGCCGCTGCCTCTGATTCCTTCTGCGCCTCTGCCTCAACCATCCTGGGCGCCGCACCCTCATCCTTCTGCTGCGCTGCTGCCGCTGATTCCTTATGTGCGTCTGCCTCATCATTCTGCTGCGCCGCTGCCTCATCCTTCTGGCTCGCCATTGCCTCTGATTCCTTCTGCGCCACTGCCTCCACAACCATCAGCTCGACTGCCTCCGACGTCAGCTCTGCTGCTGCACCCGCTTCTTTACGCGCGACTGCCTCCGCACCCTTGACCGCCTCTGCACCCACCTTCTGCTGCGCCGCAGACTCTGCTTCCTTTGGCGCCCCGTCCTCTGCCGTAAGTACCGCCTCTGCATCGACGAACCGATGGGCCGCATCCTCTGCATTCTGGTGCGCCTCTACCTCCACCATCTTATGAGCCTTAGCACCCGCGTTGCTCTCCTCCTTCTTTTTCGCCTCTCCCGAATTCTCTGGCACGTCGACGTCCCCTCTCCGGGCCTCTTCTGCCGCCTTCCGCTTTAGGCTGGGCAAGCGAACTTTCACGTATCCCCTATCCTCCTCGATATGCTGCCGCACATTGCTGGCGAGCTTCTCTCCTGCCTCTCCCACGTGTGCCCTTGCAGCGGCTCGTGCCCCACGCTCCCATGCTTCACGTATGTCTCCAGTTCCCGGGAAAGAGACGGTAGGATCGGTGCCGCCATCACTGCGCCGCTGCATCTCTTCAGCCCGTCTACTCTTGGCTTCTGCTTCGACCATCCGCTTTTCATCAGCCGCCTTCCTCCAGTGCTCCTCTGCCTGTTCGACCTGACTTGGCAGCTGTGGATCTTCTACACCCTCCTCGCCTTCATCTGCTACGCTTGCCAAGTCGGTCTCCGTCCGTGCTTCGCGTTCCTGCGGCATCCTAACCCGATCAGCAAACCTGTGCTGCCTATCTCCAGACCTATCACGCTCGTCAGCAGTGGCTGCCCTTGATGTCGGGCCACTGAGTACTGCATCCCTCGGTGCAGGTCGGCGGGAATATGAAATAAACCCAACTCTTGGATTTGCGTCCCGGTTTGCGGCAGGTACGTCTATCTGTCCCTCTACCGCTTCGGATCTGTTCTGTGCGGGTGCGCTCTCTACCACTCGAGCACAGTGGGTCGTCATGACTGCATCCGGGGCGGGACGGAGCTGGACTCCTTGCAGGTCGAAGAAGGCCCTGCAGGTCGACTCCAGCATACTCCGAATTTCTTTCGCGCTGTTTTTCCCCTTCCCTAAGACCATCATCGGCTCTACAGACTGAATCGCCATGACATCCCCCCATTTGTCCAGCAACTTGCTGAACACATGGGTAACATGCAGCCCGGAACCCACTTGCCTCTGTCCCTGAACCTTGTTGATCTGCAACATGTGCGTGAAAAGGTGGTTGTCAGACACTCCCGTTACTTTGTACAAGCTTGATATCATACAATGCTTAAGTCATAAAAATAGAGGCTCCTTCCTTACCCTGCCTTCCTCCAGAATCAGATCATTTAGGCGAGCCCTCAAATCTTTCTGCACCGCTTCGGCGTGGCTGCCAGAGACCCTGCGACCTCGGCTGTATTCCACATCTAGTTGTCGGATAAGCCAGCTGCAGGGCAAGGGGGTCGCAAATAATCAATATCATGCGTCCACACAAACCGCACATCTGCTTAAGGAGTGATACCTACTCGAACACCTCCTTGGCATGCTCGCTGTGGCGATGGGTTGGGATTGCAGATTTAGGGTCGAAGTGTAGCACACGCGTACGGTACTCTCCGCGGGGATGTGCTAACAAATCTTGCGGGTTCATCAGCACCATGAGACTGATCGCCGTCGAGCGAACAACAGCGACTCTGCGGTACATGGAAGTTTGGATTAGCAAGATAGCTGGTGTCATCGACACACGTTGCGGATACATGTCAGGAAACTCACTCTGATATCATGGGTATTAAAACCATCTGGTAGTCCAACAGCGACCGATGTTCGCTGCCACAACTGGGGACACGCGGGACAGCAGACCTCAAACGCCGATGCTCGGTAGGAGCCAGAATCTTTATGTCTTTGCGAACGCGAGGATCCCCAATCTTGTCCTTGGCAACCTCCCTGCATCCAAGCCGACATGTCGCAGAGGTAAGAAGATAGCAGGTGCCTGTCTAAAAAACAAGGGTTCAACGTGTCGATGAAGTCAGCGTGCGTTACAAACCGCGCTTGGATACATACACTAGGCCGAAAAGTAACAACGCCTCGTTCCACTCTTCCTGACGAGCGATTAACCTTTCATAAGACTCCCGCCCTAGTCGTACCGACAATCCGCAGCCGTCTGTGATTAGCTGGGACGACATCGCGTAAGTATGCCAGAAGATGGCAGGTAGCTAAACGGTTACTAACAAACACTCTCTACCTGCAGGATAAGAGGCCGACACTAGAATGAGAGGGAAGCTTGTGAGACTAGTTGTGGAACCTCGACTCAGATTGGAATGGCGAGAATGACGTCGAGCTTTGGTGCACCCACCCTGATCCCAACTTCTGCTTCGCTGGTAGAATTGGTTGTGCTCTGTCCTCAAACGCCAGGCGTAGTAAGAATTTTCTGCCCCATGGCTCAAAATATTAGGCTTCTCACCATTTCCCTTCGACCATTTGCGAACTACTCTTTGCCATGTTAGCATATTGCATGTTCTGCGGTGCCATTGCATGGTCTCAGCTTTGCCTCGACCTCGTACGAAATGGTGACGGGCAGCCCCTAAAAAAAACGAATGGTGTCCTGTGACAGGTTAATGACAGGCTGCCACGTATAGCTATCCCATCCGCATGGTTCCCTCCGCAACCTGGAAATAGAGCTGTCTCTGCGACCTGTCACACGTGTCAGAAATCGAATGACACCCTACATCCGAGAGTACCGCTATAGGGGTACTTGTGTAGCACGTATAGTACTAGTTTTTGTAACCCATAATTCAAACACAAGCATGAACTTTGCATGATTAGCACACCCAATACTATAACGGGTAATCCTATAAGTGTGAGATGAGTGCCCTATCATTAGCACCCGTATAACAGTGGCATTGGAGTACAAAACAAATGTTGTACATTTCACCAAAGTGCTCTGCTCCCGCCTGCAGAGGAGAGAGTGAAAAACATACTACACGTCTACGAAAAAAGATGAATTTCAGGTGGGGGTCTGGAATATGTGTGGTGAGAGTCCCCTATAAAAATCAGCTCATTTGCTCAAAGAGAAGTGGGTGATTACAATTGAAACCTGATTGCAGGCAATTCTGCACAGAATTCTGCAGACTGCTGCACAGCAAGGCTTAAAACGCATATCAAACCTTGGGCAAATGAAGTGAATCTCATGTGGGGGTCTGGAATATGTGTGGTGAGAGTCCCCTATAAAAATCAGCTCATTTGCTCAAGGAAAAGTGGGTGATTACTATTGAAACCTGATTCCAGGCAATTCTGCACAGAATTCTGCAGACTGCTGCACAGCAAGGCTTAAAACACATATCAAACCTTGGGCAAATGAGGTGAATTTCATTTGGGGGTCTGGAATATGTGTGGTGAGAGTCCCCTATAAAAATCAGCTCATTTGCTCAAGGAGAAGTGGGTGATTACTATTGAAACCTTATTCCAGGCAATTCTGCACAGAATTCTGCAGACTGCTGCACAGCAAGGCTTAAAACACATATCAAACCTTGGGCAAATGAGGTGAATTTCATGTGGGGGTCTGGAATATGTGTGGTGAGAGTCCCCTATAAAAATCAGCTCATTTGCTCAAAGAGAAGTGGGTGATTACTATTGAAACCTTATTCCAGGCAATTCTGCACAGAATTCTGCAGACTGCTGCACAGCAAGGCTTAAAACACATATCAAACCTTGGGCAAATGAGGTGAATTTCATGTGGGGGTCTGGAATATGTGTGGTGAGAGTCCCCTATAAAAATCAGCTCATTTGCTCAAAGAGAAGTGGGTGATTACTATTGAAACCTTATTCCAGGCAATTCTGCACAGAATTCTGCAGACTGCTGCACAGCAAGGCTTAAAACACATATCAAACCTTGGGCAAATGAGGTGAATTTCATGTGGGGGTCTCGAATATGTGTGGTGAGAGTCCCCTATAAAAATCAGCTCATTTGCTCAAAGAGAAGTGGGTGATTACTATTGAAACCTTATTCCAGGCAATTCTGCACAGAATTCTGCAGACTGCTGCACAGCAAGGCTTAAAACACATATCAAACCTTGGGCAAATGAGGTGAATTTCATGTGGGGGTCTGGAATATGTGTGGTGAGAGTCCCCTATAAAAATCAGCTCATTTGCTCAAGGAGAAGTGGGTGATTACTATTGAAACCTTATTCCAGGCAATTCTGCACAGAATTCTGCAGACTGCTGCACAGCAAGGCTTAAAACACATATCAAACCTTGGGCAAATGAGGTGAATTTCATGTGGGGGTCTGGAATATGTGTGGTGAGAGTCCCCTATAAAAATCAGCTCATTTGCTCAAGGAGAAGTGGGTGATTACTATTGAAACCTGATTCCAGGCAATTCTGCACAGAATTCTGCAGACTGCTGCACAGCAAGGCTTAAAACACATATCAAACCTTGGGCAAATGAGGTGAATTTCATGTGGGGGTCTGGAATAAGTGTGGTGAGAGTCCCCTATAAAAATCAGCTCATTTGCTCAAGGCGAAGTGGGTGATTACAATTGAAACCTGATTCCAGGCAATTCTGCACAGAATTCTGCAGACTGCTGCACAGCAAGGCTTAAAACACATATCAAACCTTGGGCAAACGAGGTGAATTTCATTTGGGGGTCTGGAATATGTGTGGTGAGAGTCCCCTATAAAAATCAGCTCATTTGCTCAAGGAGAAGTGGGTGATTACTATTGAAACCTTATTCCAGGCAATTCTGCACAGAATTCTGCAGACTGCTGCACAGCAAGGCTTAAAACACATATCAAACCTTGGGCAAATGAGGTGAATTTCATGTGGGGGTCTGGAATATGTGTGTTGAGAGTCCCCTATAAAAATCAGCTCATTTTCTCAAGGAGAAGTGGGTGATTACTATTGAAACCTGATTCCAGGCAATTCTGCACAGAATTCTGCAGACTGCTGCACAGCAAGGCTTAAAACACATATCAAACCTTGGGCAAATGAGGTGAATTTCATGTGGGGGTCTGGAATATGTGTGGTGAGAGTCCCCTATAAAAATCAGCTTATTTGCTCAAGGAGAAGTGGGTGATTACAATTGAAACCTGATTCCAGGCAACCCTGCACAGAATTCTGCAGACTGCTGCACAGCAAGGCTTAAAACACATATCAAACCTTGGGCAAATGAAGTGAATCTCATGTGGGGGTCTGGAATATGTGTGGTGAGAGTCCCCTATAAAAATCAGCTCATCTGCTCAAGGAGAAGTGGGTGATTTCAATTGAAACCTAAGTCCAGGCAATTCTGCACAGAATTCTGCAGACTGCTGCACAGCAAGGCTTAAAACACATATCAAACCTTGGGCAAATGAGGTGAATTTCATGTGGGGGTCTGGAATATGTGTGGTGAGAGTCTCCTATAAAAATCAGCTCATTTGCTCAAGGAGAAGTGGGTGATTTCAATTGAAACCTAAGTCCAGGCATTTCTGTACACTAACTTCATTGCAAGAAAAAGTCCACCAAATCAGTTTGCATATAGCTGAAAATGTTCAGGGGGGCTGGAACAGGTGTCATAACACTAACAATGCAAAAAAAAATGGTCACCACATAACACATGTGTGTGATGCACAGAGAATGACTTTACATGTGCTATGAGCAATCTTAGTTGAGAGAAAAGTGACAAAATGGAACAAATTTGACAAAATAACAAACTCATGCCCGCTTGTAGAGGACATCAAGGAGATGCTGGAAATCCATATTTGTGTGCAAATGACCAACAAATGATGGAGTTATGAGCCAAACCATATAGAATTTTGACTTAGCCATTTTGACATTCTGCTTGTCAGAATTACACCAAAGTGTCAACAACAAAGTTTATATACAAATACTGTACAACAGTGGTTGCGACGTCGCTTTCGTGCGACCGTCGATAATCCAAACCGGTAGTGTAACCACTCTTGCGCCCATTTCGTTGCGCCATCAGGTGGTTTGGATTTTGTAAGATCCAACACCCTTTTGCGCCGAATCCGAGTCAAATCCGAGTAAAATCGTCTCGCCACGGGCAAAATGGAGTTTCGCCAAAAAAAATGAATCCCGGTCGAAGCAGAGGATCCGAGTGCTGCTTCCGCCTTTGGCCCGCCCTTCCCCCGTCAGGTGGTTTGGATTTCTAGGAAATGAATGGCGCTGTTCGCCAGCAATTATGAAAACGAAAACGACGGGATCAGGAAGGTCAGTCACGCCTTCCTGATCCCGTCAGTTAGGGTTCGTTAAGCTCCGTCAGCCTGGTCAGCCCGTAAAATTCGTGCCGAAGCTAGGATGCCGTCCGAACCTAAAGCAATCTTTGGTGCCTGGCGAACGCCCTCATTTTTCTCAGTTTTCGGATGGAAACATGGCATTCGGAAATGGGGGTGTAACTTCCTCCCCAGGCAAACATCCCGTCTCATGCCATCCCGTGGCAGTCCACCATTTCACGTGGACTGCCGTGGGTTGGCGATGTTATTGGCGTGTGGGCAGGCACAGGTCAGTGCGCCAAAATTTCGACCCATTTTGGGGGAAGGTGGGGTGTGGGGTTCCATATGCGATTGAGAAGTTTCTCATGTCGGGGCTGGAAAGTTCGTGGGTGGCATTTCGCCCAAACCTTTTCGGAGGGTTCCGGCCCCGCTTCCTGATGCCGTTGCCAGCCTGATGCCTTCCATTTTCAAGCAATCTCAAAGGTGCTGGCGAACACCGCCAATTTCTGCCGCTGTTTTACAGGCAGACTGTGCTGTATTGCGCATCCAAACCCTAGATACAGAGAGCTTTCTTCTAGGGGGCCGCAGCTTTCCCTCAGCGAACGGCTGTTGGGGACTGCTCTCGGAAAGCTCAAGATCTGAGGTGAGAGCTGGCCTCGTGAGCGTCTCAAGGGTCGTTGAGCTGTATGTTGAGCTGAGCTGGGAAATAGGAGCTGAAACAGTCAAGCCACGTGTGAAATAGGTGCAGCTGAAAGCAAAGGGCTAGCAGAGTGGGCTCTTGCTAGCCGCGGCGCACGCATTCTGCGGGCAGCGACATAGCGTTATCCTGCTCCAGGTGAGTACGCCAACTCACCGTCGCAGCAACGGAAACCCAATTTCGAGGGAGGCGGTGCATGAGGTGACATTCGACGGTGCACTACGTGGCGCCACGACGTCGCTCACCAACTTCAAAATGCCACGCTCAGCGGATATTGGGTTCAGCTTTCCCTTCCACCGCTTTCGCACGCCTTCTGTTTTCCACCTTGCTCATTTCCGTTTGATGCTCACCGTTTGACGTCGAGCGCTGGTAAGTTGGTGCTGCTACTATCTTACAATCACTATTTCTCCACGTGACACCTCTTAAGCCCAGGTCCCTCAGTCCATCCTTTACCTTAGCACGTCTTCCGGCGTCATTAGAATCTCTAGTCCCTCGTCATGGAGTCTCCGCCGATCCACAGTTTACCTGACGATCTTCTCTTTACAATCCTTACGCGCTCCTTCGAGCTGCCGACTCTGCACGAATCTCACTTGGACGAATCGTCCATAAGTATATGGCCAGGTATAATTTTTGATCAAGTGGAGTCGGACAGTTTTGTGACAAAAACGCCGATACCAAGCCCGCCTTTGGTCGCAGACGTAGCTCGAAATCTTCTTATCGCGTCTGTCTGCGGTCGTTGGCGTCGTGTGGCGAAGCATTACGTGACCACGCTGCTTGTCAAAGAAGACCTCCTTGTATCCCGCCAAGATCTCTCAGCCGCCGTCGCGTGTTTCCCCAACCTCACCCACGTGCATCTCAGCGACAACAGCGTAGAGTCGCTCGACGACGACTTCCTCGCTCACCTCGCTTCGTCATACCCGAAGCTGACGACCCTCTACGTGGGAAGGAGCTTTGCACCGCAGTTATCCCTCGGCGGCTTTAATGTTTGGGTCGAGCATTATCGTAGGAAGAGCCACGTATTAACTACCGAGGGCTTGGATCGGTTCTTTCAAGGTGTTTGCGAATTGGAGCAGGTTGCCCTCTTCTGCCTCGACCAAGGAACGAAGCTGCCAAATTCCCTCTTTCAGTTGACGCGCCTGCAGAACCTTCGCCTCACTGACGCTGCAGTCCTAGAGAATCGCGGGTTCACAAAACTGACGGCTCTTACGACGCTCTGTGTCACCTTCCCCGTAAACCATCTGCATTTATCCACCCTCCTTCGCCTCCGACGGCTGGCCAGTCTCTCCATTCTCGGCCCTTACCAGAACCATTGGCTGATGAGAGCTGCAAACCTGACTCTGCCATCTTCCTTAAAATCGCTGAACTTTTTTTACTGTTGTCCTAGCTTCTACACCATCTTCCCATCAGCATCGCCATTCACCGGGCTACAGGAGCTGCTTATCACCGACTGCAGTGGGCTGGAGAGCCTTCCAGACGGCATAGGAGAATTGCTGCCGTGCCTTCGCAAGCTGACCATTCGCCAATGCTGTTCTCTTGCCTGCCTGCCTGAAAGCTTCGTTACTCTGAGCCGTTTGGATACCCTAATCATTTCTACGTGCAGATTTCCCTTACCCAGCAACTTCGGCCACCTGCCTGCTCTCAAAGTGCTGGTGCTGCGAGCGTTGTATCTCCGAGAGCTCCCTCCTTCTTTCTGCCATCTCCTGTCGCTCGAGGCACTTTTTCTGGATGATTGCTTTGACCGTCGGCATGTTGATCAGCTGCCAGCAGGCTTCTGCCGCCTCACGGCTCTCAAGGCGCTCTGCGTCTCAAGCCGGAACCCTGCCTTGCCAGAGGACATTGGGGCCCTTGCAAGTCTGCAGATTCTCAGGTTGGATAGCTTTCGGGAGCAGCCCCTTCCGGCTTCCTTCACCCAGCTGTCTTCCCTCACGAGCCTTAAGCTGGATGTATGCCGCTTGGGCAACCTTCCGGAAGCCTTAGGGGAGTTTAGCAGCCTGCGTGAGCTGAAGCTTAGGGAAGATGCCTATGCCCGTTCAATCAGGACACTTCCTAGCTCTATTGTACGGCTTACGAGACTTCACACCTTGGAGGTTAGAGACTGCCGGTCACTCTCAGAAGTGCCGAGGTTGGATGCGCTGGTGGGTCTCAAGAAGCTGGAGCTGACAGATTGTCGGCAGCTGAGTAGACCCCCTGCTCGTCTGCCCCCCGCTCTTCAGATCCTCCTTTTGGGGCCCTTCAAGAAAGGCCCTTCCCGTTCTGTCGACATCTCGCAGCTGTCGCAGCTGAGGGTGCTGAAGCTGAACTGCGTTGGGGTGCGATGCGGGCGTGCAGTGAGCGGCAGGTTGTCGTGTCTGCAGCAGCTGCAGCAGCTGGAGATGCGGTTGGAAGATGACAGCCAGGAGCTCCCAGTCCCACTGACCTGTCTCCCTCGCCTGCGCAGCTTGCTGATAGAGGCTCCTGGACTTTGCAGCCTCCCGGAAAACATGGGGGCAGCGTTGCCACAACTGCGGCAGCTGAAGCTTCTTTCGTGGTCACAAGGGAAGCTGCCAGGAAGCATAGTGGAGCTCACCTCGCTGACGTCATTGACGATCAACACACCCCGGCTTGTGGCGCTACCTCTACGCATGAGCCGCTTGTCTCGGCTGCGCAAACTGGAGCTGATTCGATGCAACGCCTTGCAGCAGCTCCCAGCGTTCCTCACGCAGCTGCACCAGCTGATTCTCCGTAACACATCCATCCGCTCCCTTCCCGCAAATCTTGTGCGCCTTGACAGCTAGGCTAGTCTTTCACAGCTGGTCTGGAGATTACTCGAAGGACTTGAACTGGTTGAAGCCGCTGCAGTATATAACGTTTTGCTTGCACTGCCTCTGTGCTGCTGGCCGATGCTTGTTAGAGAAGCTGTTTTGGAGGGTGGGCAGGGTAGATGAAGGAAATGCATGGAATGTACAGTTTATAGTTGTATCGTGGTCTTTGATATGTCGTCTCGTGTACCCCTGTTTGTTGCGTGGACAAGTGTCTTCGTTTCTGCTGTATACAGTGTACATAGTATAAATGAATTTCTGTGGAAAAATAGTACCTTACCACTCCTTCAGGCTACCTTGCCAATTTTGGGCTTCTCAGCATCAATGGACCAATCCTATAAGTCTGTCAAGACAGTAGACATGCAGGAGAAGTTGTGAATGCTGTAAATAAGACAACTGAATGCCATGATGGCAGGCAGCTCATGACCATGACCATGTGCTGATCAATTCATTACTGTGCTGAAAAATCACATTATTCTCGTTTCATCATGAACTCATAACAGCCCGACTTAGTCAACTGCTGGAGGAAAGGCTAATGGCCTGTGACTTGCAAGTTACCAGCTGCGACACAGCCCGTATATATCCCGATTATTGAGGTATGTGGAGAAGATGGGGAGTGGAAGGAGGGTGTTGGTGAATGCAGCAGGCAGTCATGCTTGCAAAATACATACTGAAGATGCGCAATGGCAAGCAGCAGGGGTCTTGGGGCTCCAACTGAGTCGCCAATGTTCATCCGAGTTGAGATCAGGTGTGACGAGTCATGGAATGGTTTCGGTAGCTTGATGAAATGTTATCGGTGTGCGGTGGTGGGTGTGTATGTTGTGGTGTGTGTTTGCGCATTAGCATCTATGAGTTTTATGATAGTCATTCTGAGGTATGCATTCTAATAGTCCTCTAATCAAGCCTGCATTCAGACAAGTGATGCATACTGTGGCGTGCATTCTGAAAGGTGCATTCTACAAATTTGTTTGTGACTAATGCATTCCAAGAAATCCATCAAGAGATATTATTTCTGAGATTTGCATCTGGAGGTGCATTCTGGGAGAACGAGTTTGAGATATGCATTCTTTCTGTTGTGTTCTAATGTGTTTCAGGCCGAGGGTAGATGTATGAGAGATGCATTTAGGGTAAAGAATCTGAGATACACATCGTGAGATCTGCATTCCGAGAGATGCATTCCAAGAGTTGCAACTTGAGCATGTGCCTGAATTGACTGTGCCGGAATCTTTTCTGTGCCTGAGTTCCTTGTGCCTATGCCCTGTGGCTGAAATTTCTGTGCCTGAATTCCCTGTGCCTGAGTTCCCTATGCCTGATTTGCCTGTGCTTGATTCACCTGTGCCTGAGTTCCATGTGCCTGATTTCTCCTTGCTTAAATCCCCTGTGCCCAAATGCCCTCTGCCTGAACTGTACCTGAACTATGCCTGAATTCGTTGTGCCTGAAATTCCTGTGCCTACATTCCCTGTGCCTGAATTTCTTGTGGTTGAAATACCATGTGCCTGAATTCCCCCTGTGCCTGAATTTACTGTGCTTGAATTCGCTGTGCCTGAACTTCCTGTGCCTGAACTTCCTGTGCCTGAGTCCCCCTATGCCTGATTCCTTGTTTCTGAAATTCCTTGTGCCTGAGTTTCCTATGCCTAAAATCTCAGTGCCCCGTGTCTGAATCCCCCGTGCCTGAATTCCCTGTGCCTGAATTCCCTGTGCCTGAATTCCCTGTGCCTGAATTCCCTGTGCCTGAATTCCCTGTGCCTGAATTTTTTGTGCCAAAACCCCTTTGCCTGATTTTTCTGTGCCTTCAATCCATCGGCCTTAGTTCCCTGTGCCTCAATTCCCCGTTCATGAATTTCCCTGTGCCCGTGCCCAAATTTCCTTGTGCCAGAATTCCTTGTCCCTGATTCCATTGTGCCTGAAATTCCCTGTGCCTGAAATTCCCTGTGCCTGAAATTCCCTGTGCCTGAAATTCCCTGTGCCTGGAATTCCCTGTGCCTGGATTTTCTGTACCTGAGTCATCTGTTTCTGCATTCCATGTTCCTGAATGCCATTTGCCTGAATCCTCTGTGCCTTATGTCTCTCTGCCTGAATTTTCCTATGCCTGAATTCCCTGTGCCTAAACCTCATGTGCCTGAGTTCCCTGTGCCTGATTTCCCTTTGCCTGAATGCAATGCCCTGTGCCTTGAGCCTGAGTTCCCTGCGCCTCCATTCCATTTGCCTGGATTCTCTGTTCTTTATCTCCCTGTGCCTCAATCCCCTGTGCCTGAAATTCCTGTGCCTTAATACCAAGTGCCTGAGTTTTCTGTGTCTGGATTCCCTGTGCCTGCATGCCCTGTGCCTGCATGCCCTGTGCCTGCATGCCCTGTGCCTGCATGCCCTGTGCCTGCCTGAAACCCCTGTGCTTAAATACGTTAGGAAGTGAAGGCAAGAATGACGTGGTGCAAAACGAGCCTTTCTTATTGCAATTGCAACAGCACACAGAATCACCTTCAACACTTTCAGACCAAGTCGTCAAGTTGAGTCCAGCCAGGCAGTGACACGCTGTCACCCGCCACATCAGCAACGCAATGACGCGCGCCACGAAGGGATTCCCGTGCGTCTCACCATGGCCCAAAGAGCAAATAGGGAGATGACACGTGGCTGTGGTTCAGTAAGAAGAGAGGGAGGTGGAACACCTGATACAGTTCAACATACACCACTCATACCCTCCCACCACTTCTCGCATACCCCCGATTTCTCTCATTCTCCCCATTCCTCTCATTACCCCCACTCCTCTCATGTCCCCACTGCTCTCATACCCCGCACGCTTCTCATTACCCCCACCCCCCACTCATACTTAGGTGATTCCTCGCAGACACTGTTTCGTCTAGTCCTGATTTTCGCCCTTGCTCTCCTGCCCTTCACCCCCTACTCTCCTGCTTTTCACCCTTGCTCGCCTGCTATACACAATCTTGCTTTTCACCCTTCCACTCCTGCTTTTCCCCTTAGCGCTCCTGATTTTCGCCCTTGCACTCCTGCTTTTCTCCTTTGCACTCCTGCTTTTCTCCCTTGTTGCACTCCTGATTTTCACCCTTCTCCTGTTTTCACCCTTCCATTCCTGCTCTCTGCCACATCAGCAGCACCAGCAAGTCTCTAGCACACACCGTTTCATCTGCTCCCTGGGCTTTTGAATTCGTCACCACTGCCTTCTAGTCCTGCCATGTCTCTGCCATGCGTTGCCAGGCCAACTACGGTACTGTGCTGCTTCCTGTACTGTGGCGGCTCAATTCAGGGTGAGGAATGTGTATTGTGGGCCAATGCTTGAGCCCTTGCTACTCTTCTGGAATGACCGTACCAGAATATCTCCTTGCAATGGTTCTTTCTGTATCTTATTCAACATTGAAAGGTGAAAGCTCATTATTGTGGTTGCCTTGATAATCAGATGCTGTGCTGCATCAGAGGGACATGAGGGCCACTTTGAAATGAGATGCAACAAAACCCAATTTATTGACAGGAACCCACCCAGCCCAGCAACAACCAGCAGATGCCAGTCGAGGAAATTGTTCTCATCATAATTCTGAATTGCGACATGCATGCCTTGCAAACTGAAGAGAACGTGCCGGTGGCCTTGGCAGGAAGCAGCAGTGCTTTTGAGCAGCATGATTGTTTCTGACTTCACTCAACAGTTGGCAGGGTAGAACGAAGAAAACATGCTGCTGCTACTGTAACTAGCAGATGACAACGCCCTCTGCCAAGAGCCAGGAGGGAGAAATGATGAGTGTGTTGATCTTGGTCTTGTGCCTGCCGAATAGGGCCTGCAGAGAGGGAGAGGTGATGACAGGCAAAGCAGGGAAGGCAGGCTAGGTAGGTAAGGTAGGGAGGGAAGGGAAGGTAGGGAAGGGAAGGCGAGGAGGATGAAGGATGAGAACTGGCAGAGAACACTGGATAGAAAGCCGCGCAGTTCAAAAGAATCAATTCACTGCCTTTAGGCCAACCCCACCAGCATCATCCCCCCCAACCACCTGCACCATATTCCTCCCACCATCCACCTCCCCCCACCAGAGCAAAGAGCATGGGAAAACAAGGTAGGGCGAGGTGAGTTGCCTGCCATAGCACCCCGCCATGATGCGCCCGAATAGCTGGGGAGAGAGGGGGGAGGAAAGGGAAAATGGTGGGGAGGAGGATGAAGCCATGAGCACGGGAAAGCACGGAGAATAAGGAGGGAGTGGAGAGAGAGTAAGAATGGTTATAGCCGATCTATGATGTGCAAATAGCTGGGAAGCTGCAGGTGAGGTGGAAGAGTTAGGGGGGAAGAGGGAGGAAGAAGCAACGAGGAAAGCAACGAGGGAGGGAAATTCGAGGTAGGGCAGAGAGAGGGAGAGAAAAGCGAGGTGGTTGCAGGAAAGGTGGATTGGAGCAGTGTGATGGACGCTAATGGCTGCACTATGCACACATGGGGATGGAGGGATGGCGATGGAGTTGCGGATGGGGGAGGGGACGTTGAAGGGGAAAGGGATGGGGGAGGGGAAAGGGAAGGGCATGGGTATGGAGAAAAGCTTGGGAACGAGAAAGTTGAGGGGGAGCCACAGGGCACCCAGCACCCCTCACCAGCAGAGGGAGGAGGAGGTGTGGTCTGAGTGAGTGAGGGGTGGTCCTCATTGAGGAACGGCAAGGCCACAGGGCACCCAGCACTGCCGCCCAGCCTTGCGTGCAGCCACATCAGTGACCTGCAAATGAAGCATTAGTACACCCCTCTCACCACACACGCACCTCCTCCTCCCCCTGCTCGTCTTCCAGGAAGAACACGGCCATGCGCCATCCCGCAGCCCCCCCGGGCCTCGCCTGACACATGATCCACCAGGGGCTCACAAGCCTCAAGCAGCCCATTACCCCTCACTCACTCACACCACACCTCCTCCTCCCTCTGCTCGTCCGTCCTCAAACACCGCCACGGGGCACCCAGCAGCCCCACCCCGCCCAGCATCGTCTGCAGCCTCTCCTGCACCTCCGCCTCGTCAGCGGCCTCTGCCTTGGTGAACAGTGACTCCGCGGCATTGGGCGGCAGATCATGTGGCCAAAGTTGGTGTAGGAGAAGCAGGTGCGTACCTGGGCGAAATGGGAGAGGGAGTCGTTGGGCCAGATGCCAGAGCAAGAGGAAAGGTGCTCAGCGGAGCTGGTGGTAAGTGGGGAGGGGTGGACGGGGGAGAAAAGAGGGAAGGTGAGTTGCAGACTGGAAAGGAGTACACTCAGCCAGTGCGCTTGTGCTACAGGGGGGTTGGAAAGGGGAGAGGAAGGGAGAGTGTCTACGGAGAGTGCTTAGGACTTGAAAGCAGCGCGCAGCCTCAGCAGCTTGCAGGTTCTCCGTGAACAGTGCACATGTTGCAGGGGCGGGAATTCATGGAGCTGGTATCAGTCCAGGAGAAGCAGGTGCGGTGCGAAGCTGGTGGAAAGACAGGGGAAGGGTTGGAGGAGGTGGAGGGGGAGAGGAAGAGACAGTGTGTGGGTGAGAGCCGTGTGGCCACACCATAAGGCCGCAAATCCGCGGGCCAGACGGCAGAGAGGAATGGCAGAATTTAAGGAGCGTGAAGCGTTGGTGGGGGGACTGGCTGGAGAGGGGGAAGGCGAGGGGGTATGGGAAGGAAGAGTATAGCGCGTGGTCAAGAGCAGTTCAGCGTCACCGTAGAGACAGGAATCAGTGGGGCAGGCGCTGTCGTGGGAGAAGCAGGTGCGGAGCTGGGAGGGAGAGGGTATTGGGAATGGAGGGGATGGTGCGTTAGCCATTAGGAGAGGCAGGACGAAGAACGGTGAGATGGGTGAGAGTGAGAGGCGGTGAATGATGGGAAGGGAGAGGGGGAGGAAGGAGCGATGGTTTGAAAGTGTCGGCCCTGTTAGTCCCGCATCGGCACTTCATATAACTAACAGAGGCTCAAGGCAATCAGCCTCTTGCGATCAAACTTGATCACAGCTGAATCACCGGACTGACCTGACCTGGGAGTGACCTGGGCTGGGAGTGACCTGAGAGTGACCTGGGAGTGACCTGGGAGTGACCTGGGAGTGACCTGGGCTGGGAGTGACCTGGGAGTGACCCATGGGTTGCAGAGTTTTTCGCTGCAAACCCACAAGCAGCCCACGTCCCTCATTGCATGCACCTCATTCTGCCGCTGCTCGTCCTTGGGTAAGAAGACAACTGCCGGCACCCAGTGTCACCGAATATGCACGGTTGTGCATATAAGGTGCCAGTGAGGCTGTGGTGTAGTGTGGGGTGTAGCATTACCGAATATGAACATTTGGGGTGTAGGTAGTTGGGAACCAGGGAGAGTGTCGCGAAGTTGGTAGGAGAGCTCCGAGGGGTGCAATCCAAGGAACCAATGCGAATGAACCAAGCCAGGCTCGAGGCGCACATTGAGAAATGCACGCTTCGAGCCAGGGACAGGTAAATTCACTAACACACACTCACTCGTTGCTTTTCTCTTGTTATTCTTTCATATAGTGGATCGTTGTTACCTTCATCCTACGGCTAGGTGACACACCACTCAGGGAGGACCCTTGAGGTGGGAGCTTTGTCTCTTTCATAACAAGAGAAAAGGAGGAGTGCGTGCGTGCAAGGATGGACGAGTATGAGCTGCGCTATGGCAGGACGTATGGTCATCGCGAGGAGGATCGCGCATGGCGCGGACACTCGCGTGAGCGTGGGCGATCGCTGGAGAGATCGCCGCGGAGGCCTGCCTTTCGCGCGGATCAGGTGCCTCTCGCGTACGAGCGGCGAGCGGGCGGATCCGCACGAGAAGGAGCGGGCGGATCGGGATCGGCCCTGGCGGACAGTGATCCGTGGCGGACGGAACCGCGCCACAGAGCGGGGGGCGATCGTGGGTATCGTCAGGAGACGGGAGCGTACCGCTCGCCGGAAGCAAGCTACCGCCGTCGCGAGGATCGGAGCCGCAGGCGAGGCTTGGAGGAACTGTTTTCGGGCCGAGAGGGAGACCTCAATGCTGACGGAGAAGGAGTGGACGAGAGCACGGACTCGTCGCAGGGAGTCGAGCGCGACGACGTGGCCGATGTTGGCGGCGGAGTCCAGGAGGAGGGCGCAAGCGAGCAGCACGACATGCCTGCGGAAGCAACGGAGGCAAACCCTGCTAAGGCAGGCGAGGCGGAGGAGACAGCCGGAAGTGGCACCGTACGAAGCGCGCGTGAGGAAGCGCCCGTTTCTGGACAGCAGGCGCACGGCGGGGAGCAGGGCGGCCACGCGTCGCGCGCGCCAGACCCGCGCCAGCAGAATGACGGAGAGCGGGGAAGCGGTCCGCGCGCGCCAGATCTGCGCCCGCACCATAACGAAAGGCGGGGAGGCAGGTCGCGTTCGCCTGAGTCACGTCAGCATCGTGATGGGAGATGGGGAGACAGGTCGCGTTCGCCGGATTCAGGGAGGCATCACAGCGGGAGACGGGAAGACGGATCGCGCTCGCCAGATCCGTGGAAGAATCGCAGCAGGAGGCAGGGAGGCGGATCGCGCTCGCCGGATTCGTGGAGGAATCGCAGTGGGAGGCGGGGAGACGAGTCGCGCTCGCCGGATCCGCGTCAGCAGCATCACGGAGCGCGGGGAAGCGGGTCACGCTCGCCGGATCGGCGCCAGCGCCACGAAGGGAGGTGTGGGGGCGAATCGCGCTCGCCAGCTGCGTATCGCTACCATGACGGGAAGCGGGGAAATGGGCCACGCTCGCCAGATCTGCGCAAGTACCAGGAGAGGAAGTGGGAAGGCGAGTCAAGCTCGCCAGATCGGCACCAAGAACGGGGTATGAGCTGGGGAAGTGAGCGTCGCTCGCTGGATCCGCGTACGCGGCGTGACGAGAGACATGGAGACGGGCAACGCTCGCCAGAACGTGATCTGCAGCAAGGACAGAGAGGGAGATGGGAGGAGGAGTGGCGTCACCGAGACCAACGTTATGGGCAGGGGGGAAGGAGAGCTCCCCGTTCCCCGACACCTGAGAAGTGCTGGCGGCACCAAGGGCGAAGGGAAGAGTGGACGCGGGCAAGTTACTCACCAGATCGGCGAGGGAGGAAGGGTGAGGAGGAAAGGCGATGGGAAGCAAGGCAGGGTCAGCACAGAAGCAAAGGTGTAGGCAGCGGTCTGGCATATAGCATGGAGCGCGCCAGAGAAGCAAGGAAGGGGATCGAGCGAGCCAGAGGAGGAGGAAGGTTAGGGAGGCAGGAAAGGGGAGCAAGTGAGTCATGGGGTGAGGGGCGTGGAAGTGCAGCGATGGCCACACGGGTGGAAGTGCCGGCGCGGTTCTCAGGAGACCAGCGCGTGGGGCCTACACTGAAGAATTATTTGATGCAAGTGGGAAATGTGAGATATAGGTGTGAGCGGAGCGGCATGGATGCGGTGGATTTCTTCCTAAGCCTGCCTAATACACTGGAGGGGGAGGCAGAGACGTTGTACAGAATGAAGATGGATGAATTACTTGAGAGGGCGGGCAGGTACGGGGAAGACCCTACAGAGGCATTTCTGAGGCGGCTGCAGCGGCAGTTTCCCGGGCATACGGCAGAAAAGATAAGGGAATTTCAGGAGTTCCGAAGGGGGAGGAGTGAGTCATTGCTCACCTATTACAACCGGCTGATCAACCTGGCAGAGGACGTGACGTGTGGAGACATGGGCCTGTTGGTCAGCAAGTTCTTGGACGGGCTGGACAACACCATGGGAACTGGGCTGCGCATGAAGGTGTATGAGATGGGGGCAGACACAACGCTGGATGAGGTATTCGAGTTGGCAGAAAAGATGGAGCTGGCACAGAGAAAGTATGAGGCATATCGACCCAGGACCATGGAGCGAGGCCGAGGGCCGACTTGGGCAGCAGCGATCATACCTGAAGAGAAAGACAAGGCAGTGGGTCGAGGAGAGAGTAGGCCAGAAACACGGACATGCCACAGATGCGGACAGCCAGGGCACATTCGCAAGGACTGCAAAAACTGCGACAGTTGCGGGAAACCAGGGCACCGGCGACGGGAATGCCCTGAAGCACCGAAGTGTGAAATCTGTGGAAGAGGTGGACATGCAGCAAAGGACTGTTACCAGCGAGAGGGAGCAGCAAAGAAGAAGCTGGAGGAGCAGGAGAAGCAGATCAGCCGGCTGCAAGCGCAGCTGCAGGCATTGGGACCGCAACGTGAAGCAGAGGCAGGGATGTATGCCAGGGATGAGGAGGAGGAAGATGTAGCACAGGAAGAGCAGGGCGCACTTATGGCGTGGGGAGTGAGGGAGGATGATGAGGTAGACCATGAGGAGCAACATGCATACATGGCATGGAGAGGGAGAGAAGAGATGGGGCTGCGCAGCGGAGGCAAGGATGGGCGAAGGGAACAGGTGAGGAAGGAGCGGGAAAAGGGGCAAAAGCCGGAAAATAAGGAAGAGAGATGCACAGCTGCACGTCACCCGCAGGAGCGGCTGGCATGTCAAACATCGGTGCTGCTGATTCAGAATGGAGCGCTGGCGGTAGAAGGGGAGAAGGCAAAGACAGCCATCATAGACACCGGAGCACAGAGTGTTATACTAGGGAAGGGGATGGCCGAGAAGCTGGGACTGTGGGCACCAGACAGACATGTGATGAAGGGGATGCTAGTGATGACAGCAGAGGGAGGAGAGTCAAAATGGATGCCCTGCACGAGGACTCCGATAGAACTAACGGTGCTGAAAGGGGAGAAGCATGAGACGCCTGTCAGAATCAGATGCGGGATTTCAGAATCAGAAGACTTTGATGTGCTGATGGGCACGGAGATGATTTTTGCCTTGGGCATGACTATCTGCTTTTGGAAAGAGACGGTGGAGTTCCGAACTAGGTGGTGGAGGAAGGGTGAACCGCTAGGGCAGCTGCCGGTGCAGTTCGTGAAGACTGAGCCAAAGAGAGCCTACCGTGTGGATCAGAAGAAGGTGACAGCGAAGCAGGGGGCACAAGAGCAAGTGGTGGGCAGAGGAAAGGGCAGAGAGCCTAGGATGCGCCTCATGGATGAGCCTAGCCAACAGACCGATTGGCAGCAACCCATCAGACTGGTGGAACTGTTCGGGGGAATAGGGGCGGGACTGGCAGCAGTGGTGCGGAATGGAATAGCGGTGAAACAGTGGATCTACGTGGAGCAGGCAGCAGAAGTGAGGAAAATGGCGGAACACCATGCGTGGGAGCTGCATAG